AGTGGCTCTGGGACTCCAGCGTCTGCGACGAGGCACCCAAGTGAGAAGCTTGGCGAGTAATCAGATTTCGCCCGGCGAGATGCAACGCTTGCTGAATACGATTCCACCGCTGGCTTAAGTACGCTTGTTGTGGTGGAGTGAGTTGGAATGTGCGTCTCTTCTGGCGCCATTCGCATTCTTGCTTGTCTTGGTAAGTGAGACTCTTTGCATTCCTGATATCCCTCGCCTCCAGCCACATGCCATACCGCCTACCCGGTCCCGCAAACACAAAAAGTAGTACGAAAAGGTGTCTAAAATTGGAGCGATGATTCCCCCCCTTTTGCTTGTTTGCTGGTGTTTGTTTGATTTTGTCGGTTGGAGTGCTAGTCAGTCTGCATGCATGCATCAGCGATCGGAGTTGTTGGGTTGCGTTTGCGCCTGCTACACATACGGTACGGAACGGCACGGTAGAGGAGGAAGTCCACACTACATTCATTCCACACACCTGTTTCTTTTATCATATGTACATTGCATCGATGGCGGAGTGGTCGGTCGAATGATGGATGTTGTGGACGGTGAGTGGACGGTCGGTATAAACGTGGCAGGGAAAATGTACATACGAAGCTGAGCTCCTTCAATTCGTATACATAGCTGTGGATGAGGGTGGTGGATTGTTTCAGTAGGCGTGGGATGGAGGGCAGGAGGCAATGAGATGCCATGATTCAAAACATGCAATCTGAGTGTCGGGGGTGAATGATCTTATCCAACTGTGACAAAAAGGCTGGGTTTGCTTCATAAAGAGGCTGTTTGGGGTATATCTACTGCCTGCTCGTTTATACCAGCATTCCCACTCATATCCATCGGGTGTCGGTAGGGCATCAGCAAGCCTCTCGCTGCCATTTCTAAACAGGATGGATGGCTCGACTTCTCCAGATTCGTTTCGTTTATGCCAGGCACCCCACTAACTCTCCCGTTCCGGATTCTGCACAGGAGTCGCACCTTTATCATGTTAGCAGATCCTAGCACCACGAGAGCAGACGACATAGACATACCAAGCACCCAACCAAGCCCACTCGCCAGACCCCCCGTCACCGCATTAGCAACCATATCCCTCCTCCTCACCCTCCCACCTTCATCCGCACTCCCAGAATCACTCGCCAGATCCAGCGACCCACGGCCGGGAGGCGAAACAGCACCCCTCGTCTGCTGATTCTGCGTTTGCTGTGCAGGCGCCGGTCGATTGCTGGCCCGGAGCGGAAACGCGCTCTTCGAGAACGCCGCCGCAGCTCCTCTAGCAACATCAAACAAGCCCATCGGCGCCTCCTCCACCGCACCACGCCCAACTTCACGACGAGGTTGCACCGCAGCAACAGTCTCATTAGCAAACGAGCCCGGGACCCGTCGATCCGCCATATCGTTGAAGCGTTCTTCAGCCGCGGTCTCGTGTTTGAGGAGTCTAGTCATTTCGGTCTCGCAGTCTCGCCATATGTCCAAAACCTCCTGGAGGTGTGATGGGGGTGCGAGAAGGATAGCTTGGGATAGCAGTTCCATGCGCTGCTCGAGTCTGCGCAGATCGGGGCGTGCGGTGGATCCGCCCCATTGGCCGGACACAGACATGGGCGAGGATTGATGGCGGCCGGCTAGGAATGCGGCACGCCATACTTCTTGAACGCCTTCTTCATCATCGGAGTCATTGGAGTCGAGCGAGTATGTGGACGCGGATGAGGAGATGGGCGGGGAATCTGTGAAACCAGAGAGACGGTTGACGACATACGAGTATGCGGTTTCGAAGTCGTCTTCGTCGAGGGCGGCTTCGATGGCCATTCCAATCACCCGGCGTTCAGCAGCGGCCTTTTTCTCCTCAGTATCTGCCGGTCCCAAGGGAGATTCTTTTGATTCCGTGTCCATGAGAGTGGCTGGCTGGGAGATGACGAGGTTTTGACCAATAGATATCAAGTCGTCGAGATGCGTGTAGCTTCTTCGATTCTGTTGAAGGACTTTGCGTAACAGAGACAGAGGGTCCTTGCTGACTCTGATATTGACAGGCTGAAAGGGGACGCCATGCTGCAGGATCAAGGAGTAAAAGGATAGGGCGTGAGTTGCAGCGAAGAGTGCCTGGACCCGTTGAAAGCGGGTTGACTTTGGGAAATAAGGACTAAAGGTTGCAATCATATCCGAGGCCCTCTTCATCCCTCCTCTTGTGCGGTTCCCGTTGCTTGCGTTGTCGTAATGGTGCATCGCGGTGGCCAAGACGATCTTCTCGATCTCTTCCAACGGCAGTGGACGCTGTTCAGACACGATCTGGATGTAGAGTTGTATCGCCAATCCGTAATGGCTACTCTCCAGGAGTGCTTTGAAAATCTCGGTTTCAATGGTTTGTCCGTCAACACATGGAAATATGCCTCGTCTATCCTTCTGTCCGCTCGTACCCCAGTTCCATAACCAGAGCAACCTGCTCCTGAAGGCTGTCCACTGATTGGCGTCCTTCTTCGGGCCACTACTGAGAGAGTGCAGAATCTTTTTGAGCAGCGCAAATTGTTCGGCGTGGTCGTGATGGAGGTACAACTTCGCCGCCTCCCGTATTGATATTTCGTATTCCATGCTCGACAGCAGACATGCTGAGAATATGAAAAGCTCAAGTAGGTGTATCGACTTCGGACTTGGTTTTGTCAGAAAATTTTCGGGGCCAAGCATATTCTCTTCCTGCACCAGGGAGGGTGTGTATTCGTTGGGAAGAGGGGCGCCTAAGTCGTGGGTTGGAAGCGACTCCACGTCGATGTGCAGATCCCTTGGCTCGTCCATACTCAGAAGAGACCCGAGTCTCACCAATACCGAATGTGCCCTCTGAAGTGTCTGCCTGTCTTTTGTCTCGACCACGTATAGACTCGCTAGTGCCGATTGCGCATATCTGGATTCCAGCTGCCGTTGGTGATCCTCGTCAATATACACCTGACCGCCATCATATCCTCCCAGATCCATATCTTCAGGCCCGTCCCAGCTCAAAATGGCGGAAGATGTGAGCGCAAAATCGTCCTTGGCCGTGGATGTGAGCCACTGAAACAGACTTTCCCAGTCGTCCTGCTCCTGCCCCTGCTGGTGTGACTGATCAATCGACGCTCTCCTGTGACTGGTGTCCAATTTCCGCCGCTTTCGCTCGTTAGATCCACACATCCACGGTCCCACCACACCCCGCAGGTCTCGAGCAGGGTCTCGCAAATCCGGGGATTTGGCGTCTGCACGTCGGAGATTCGACAATTGTGTGTCGAGCGCCCGTCTTCCCTTCATTTGCGCAAATGACTCGAGCGAGGGTATCGAGCTCTGTGAATAGTATTCATAGCCGAGCCGAAGTAATGGCAGGACAGTCGATATGAACCACAGTCGCAAGTCGTCTGAGTGGTCGAGGAAGGGAACGACGAGTTGGGGGACCATGTCGAGGAGGCCCGTCTCGGCATCGATTCGATGGGATCGGTGGATGAGGAATGAGGTTAAAGGATCGAGAGCAGGTTCGGCTTGGTAGAGCGAGTGTGTGAGAGGGAGTAGATACAGCTTGTACGCCTTTCTGCGAGCTTTGGATTCGGGCACATCCTTGACTGGTGACGTATCCAGGGCTACGCCAAGCTCATCATCTGGTGGCAATCGGGAGCCCGTTATAATCTCATGGAGATACTCGGTGTATTGGGAGGGGTCTAAGCTTTCTGGGAGATATGTCAATAAGATTCGGAGTATGAGCCCCGCGTCAAGCGCATCCCGCCTTCGAGCTGTTAGAGCTCGCAGGGAGCTGATGTTGGCCTCGGTGGCATATTGGACGGCGAGGAGAACACAATGGGAAGCAGAGAGCTCTCGAAGCTCTGCCATGACAGTTGTGGTCTATCAGAAGATCATTGCCGTTGTTTCTTGAGAAATCAAGCTCCGTGGCAGTTAAGGTTGGATTACTAAGCAATTTACAAGCCACAGCAGCCACAGCCCCGCCTCACCTCGGAACCTGTGAACCTTGACACCCTTGGAATCACTCTTTCCTCTCTACGCACTTCTAGTAAGGGAATATATAGGACGGTTCTACTCCATACATATAGTCTGTTGATCTCTAACTCCTTTTGAGAGTAGTTGGAGCTCAGGAGCTGTTCGTGGCCGTGCACAGTCCATAATTGCCGATATGCAAGCACCCGCTTGATCACAACTTAACGGAGCTGTGAGTGACATCAGGATTTTTGCAATTGCGTTTTCAGACAGATCGTATGCAATGAAATTCAGATATCTACCTGGGAAACAGGGAAACCTAAGAAGATTCTGACCATGTGCTGGACAGCTTCAACGGGCAGTTCCACCAGTGCTTGTAGACCAATGACCCTAAAACTAAGGTGAGCTCTGAGAACTCTTCGTAACCTCGCAGACTAGTCACATGTAACGGGCTAAGGAACTTGAACAAGCATAATTTTGTGCGAAGTCTGCCAGAAATGCGGAGAAGGAAGGAGGAACGGCAACTCTGTCTTTAACGTTAGATTGCAACCACTAAGGTATGGCGAGAAATTTCCCGAGAACTATGTAAGGAAACAGATTTTCTATCAAGCATGGCTAGCAGACCGAACATGTGCTCTTGCCTTAATGTCAATTTCGGTGTCACTAGGTAAGATGCTGGCATACCTGAGCCCGACCCTATGTCGGAACATAACTTCGCAACTAGCATATAATTTGAGAGGAATACTGTATTAATGTTTTTGGGAATTTGTACCTTGCGATGGCATGAATCCACAAGGCCTTTGTTGTTGGCAACAGCATGAGAGTAGTGATCGCGCGGGGAGGTGAGCATTACTCAAAACGGCCTCAGCACTCCCCAAAATGCCTCGTTTGCTGCAAACATTAAACCGCAATATCTGTTAGTGTCTAAATAAAAGAAATGCCCAGAGAATTTAGTGTTTCTCTCTTAAGGCGTCGTGCGTGCCTCTAGACATTCACCCTGACCGTCCGCCACCGGACCGCATCCAATCTTTTGCAAAAGAAGAACTCTAGAATAGCAAAAAGAATGAACGTGCCAGGGGTCGAACCTGGAATCTCTTGATAGTCCACTGAAGTCGTAGTCAAGCGCCTTGCCATTGGGCCACACGTCCTGTGAGTCTATTATGACATTTTCTGATTTTTTTCTGTATATATTGTGTGAATATATTATGTGAAAAAAAGTTGTTGTACAAGCCGGCACTAAACGGACTATCTCACCTAGGCAGATTTCTTTTGGGTGTGGAGACCCCGCTATAAATGTGACAGGATTGTGCACCGGGTGGGCGGAATTTTCCGACCTCTCTGAAGTTGGACTTTGAATTTCTCAGTACGTGAAAACTGGCCATTTTTATTTCGAATTTGATTCGCTGTAGACACCAAACTATCATCTATTTCACTGTCCAGCACTATTGATGTCTTGAGACCGGTTCCCTGATCCCAAGATCATCGTGCACGGAGCCTCTTCCGGTGAGATGGCCACCGCATGATTACGCCCGCGGCCAGGTAACGACCGTTGGAAATATACAATAGCTATCGCCATCATCATCATGGCGAAACAAATTCTTCTTACTGAATTTCCTGGCTACCTCGCCTGCGACCAGACACCGTTCATCCCACGAGCTAGGGGACTGACTCATCCCTTCCCAGCTTTTACCTTGGTACGCGTTGTTGCGTCATGTCCGACCAGGCGCCCGCGTCAACGTTCCCAACTATCTTTGCCCAATTCTCCTCCCAAGACTTTGTTATTGGCGGAGGTGTCGCCATCTTCCACATCGCCTCCCAGCGAGTCGTCATATGTAGTGCCGTAGATCGCCGCGGGAGGAAATACTACTTCCTACCCAAGGGCAGGAGGGATGCTGGCGAAGAGAGCGGGCGAGGCGCAGAGCGGGAGGGATATGAAGAGGTGAGCTCCTATCAACCAATATCTAATGCAGGCTGACACTCGACCTCCAGTCTGGCTATCGCAATCGCCTCCTCCCGCTCCCTACCCGGCACCTCCAGCCTCAAGGCTACCCTCGGATCGCAGAGCCCCCACTCACGGCGGAACCAGTATGGATGCAGTTGATGCCAGTGGGTCATGGGAAGCAATACCTCTTGTACTGGTACATTGCGGAAACGCTTCCACCCACTCTCGATCAGCTACTGGACAGCGAAGTTGGCGATGCGTATAAGCCTCCACACTCGTACCCCCCGGATCTGACACTTCGCAATCGAATCATGATGGAGCCAGAAGGCTATGAACCTGTGCGGCACGAAGGAACTGGTGTCGATGAGGAGGAGCAGACGTACGAGTCATACCTGCTTCCACTCAGCGAGGCTATAGAAAGACTGGGCAAGACCGGTGTCATGGCCGATGTTGTGCAAATAGGATGGAGAGCAATACAGAAAAGATTCGCTGATGAAGGAGCTCTGGATAATGAGAATGAGCCTCGAGGAACTGGGCCCAGACTGCAAGCCAAAGCGGACCTTTCCTAGGCTGGCTATCAAGCAACGCCGCAAGGTTAGATGTTGTCTCGAACGCAACGCTCCAGTTGCTCCACATTCTAGATCGTTCTCTATAGGCCCCGTCTGATTTCACTACTGCCGTTTGGTTATCTTGCATCCAGCCCCTCTGTTTGGTATCAGCCTTGGCTCTTTTCTTCTGATTTTCTTGGTCCGATAGTGTCTATAGCATTCTCCCCCTTCGGCCGCATTACTGTCGCAATGTTGGCACACATATTTCATTTAGAAGTCTGGGTTTTCGAATCAAGATATAAACACAAATTTCCAACGGTTTGGTGGGGCCAGAGATCATCAATATGTCATGTCTCCTAGTAACAAGGTCGCACGACCTTCACATTTCACCGAGTACGGCGGCAGTGCTATTAATTGCCCGTGGGGTGAGATCTCAAATCCATCAACGTGGTTGACCGATGTGGTTGCCAGCTCAAATGAAATATTGGTCACGATGGGATCTTCCTAGAAGGATTTAATTCCGCCAGAATCGAGATTTCTTATGCACCACCACCATGTCGACCCGAATGCGAAGGTAATTACACAGGTGTTGTACCGTGACACCTCCATTCTTGCGAGACTTTTTCGGTTCACAACGAACCCGGCATCATCAGGCTCAACGAAAAGAGCAGAAAAGGACCCTACGCTCACTGCTAAACTTGCGTAGAAGAACATAACGATGGCCTTCCTGTCTGCGTTGAGTGACGCAGCTACGTCGATGGTAAGTAGTTGTGAAAATACCATCATCGTCGATTTCCCGATCCGGCTTCTCTTACTGGTCTGCTATTGTATTACCACGTCCAATATAGCCATGCATCTGCGGGCTCGCTTGCCATGCACCGCGAGACCAGGTGCCAGGTGGCTATATATCACCCCCCACAAACCTCACTTCCTCAAATTAACCCCACAAAAGCACGTCCTCTCGTTACCAGCCGATGTCGACAGCGTTTAATCATATCGCCCAGGTAGCTGTCACCGCATCCACAGATTCGCGGATATGCATGTGCGACGGCGGCCGTTCTACCCCAGACTTGCATGCGGTGCACGAGAGTAAAGCCGAAGGTTCTGGCCTCTCTCGGCAGAACTGGGTAAAGGCGATGCCAGCCTCTCGCGAATTCTTTTTTCTGTCGAGTCGTATTATGCCTGTGCAAAACTGGCTATGGCTTTAATAAGGGAGCAGGAAGCTTGACAAATACCGAAGAAATCTCCGATTGGTCATAGCAGACACGAATTAGAGGCTCTTCCGGTCGCCTTTTGCGAGGCGTTCACTCGAAGAGCTGTGCTGCATTGCAATCAATCTTGCAGGAGAATCGATACTTGTGGTCGGGGAGAGATTTGACCTTCGCTTACTCTTGGGGATGGAGCTGGTTTGACAAATATGGCAGCCTTCGTATCTTTGTTGAGGACAACAGACGGCGAAAGGTAGCGACTGGTATACAGCCCGAAGCAGAAGCGTCAGTGCGATAACGCTCAAAGTAACTCTCCACGGAAAATCCCGAGAATGGTGTCATCGTGAGTGAGATCACACCAAAGAATCTTCTCGACCTCGTTCACGGCGATCTCTTTAGCCCTGCGATCCGACTCATGCAGCTGCATCAAACAACAGACGAACGAGGCATTGCGGAACCCCGATCCGCTTCCATGGAGAATCCTGAATCCGCGAGTTGTCTGTCATCAACGGAGTCTGCAGCTCACCCACCACCGCTTTTGGTGGGCATCCAGATCAGGACGGCCGCGGGACCCTGGCCCTCTTGACTGGATGCTTTGCAGACTGCTCTAGTCTAACCGGCGGGAGAATAGCGTATGAGTCGTCACGCAAGAGCAGCATCTAGAAGCCTAGAAACTGTATATACCCGCCTCGGTCATGGTTGGCTGTTGGCGAGGTACTTGGAGTGACCTCTGAATATGGATGCATCACCGTTGGAAGGCCTTGCAGCTTGCCACCATAAGTCATGGGAATCCATGCTTATTTGGAAATACCTAGTGTCATATCATAACACGGCTGTTGTTGACGGTCTAGCCGTGACATGGTTGAGGCTCGGCGACGCTATGATGAACGTCAAGAAAACAAGCTCGTGAAAGAAAAGTCTTGATCAACAGACGGCCAGGTACTGGGGAGAGTGCTAGGCGGTGAAGATACTCCGTGGTGAGTTGGGAGTCGGTAGTCCGATACCGAGGGATTCCTTCGTAGTAAGCAAGCTGATATCGGACCGTAGCAGTGCTACTGGGAATTCCTTGTCTCGGACCATCAAGAGAAAAGCTACTCCGTGTACTCCTGCTTCCTACTGCGCCCGAGATAACATCAGGCGTGGGAAGACGATAGATTCAGTGTCGTTATCTTCCGACTTCCGGATTAGGACATTAGGAATCCTTCCAACACCACGCAGCTTCCAAACAGAGTACGCGCAGTTGGAAAGTAACGTTGAGGCTTACCAGGACTGAGATACCTACATATGCTGTTAGCACAGATAACACTTGCAGGTGCTCTTGATACTCCAGCTCGGCTTTTCGAGAATACCGTGATGAGTTAGACCAGTTGCCAAGAATAGTGCAAGTCCATCAGGATCCCTTCATCTGACTCCGAACTCAGCTTCTCGTGTATGGATGTGAGCAATAAAGTGTTGAGACTCCGTGTCATCCTGATGTTCATCCACAGAGTCCGAATGTCCTTGCATGAACGAGCGTTCGGACTAAGCCTCGGGTCTCCATCGGAAATGCACATGAATACCCAACCCACTTGGAACGAGAACCGTACGAAAATCCCATCATTGTGGGTGCCAATTAGAGACGTGATGCCCATTCGGCCCTATTTTTGTGTACGAAAACCTCGAGGGTACAATTGTTGGATGCATGCATCTTGAAGCAAATGTCGCAGAGATGTCGAAGGGGCCGACCTGACACCGGGCATCCACAATGTAGACGCCGAACCACTGCGGATGGATAATCAAAAAGTAAGCCTTCATGGACATATGAAGCCTTAAAGTCAAGATGGAAGGTGAGACGTGATGAGTCTGAAGCGCTGAATAGCGCGAAACCTGACTGCGTAATCAGATGGGGTGGATCTCGAGATAAGGGTGGATGCATTGAATGAATAGTGTCAAACGCCGCTGGCTACAAATTTTGGATGAAGAGCCGATATCGAATGATTGGTGTTGCGATGAGCATGCAGGAACCCGAATTGTGGATACTTTTGGCTTTGAGGCGTCGTTGAGTCGACGATCTGATCGGTGGTCGGAAGTTGTGTTCCTGCGACCATGTTTCACTTCCTGTTGTCATCCAAAGACATTGATGACATTCTTCGTAATGGTGGATCTAGTTTTCCGAGAACAGCGTACGCCCTATCGTAGGTAAGGCCTATCGTTAATTCCTGCTTTCTTCGCTCGCCCATCAGTACTAGCAATTGATAAGAGGCAAGAGTCAAAGTTTGAAGGTTTCGGTGGATAGGATAATGAATCAGTTCTCGTTGCCTGCTTTACATACTCAGATACTCATATTCCGGTCCCGACACTGCGTCTGTGACTGTCTCGGGGGATATATACACAAATCCTGATGCGACCGCAACACCGAGAGGAAAGACAAGTCCGAACTCAAACTCATCGCATTATGGGATGAACCATGT